AACAGATCAGATTTGATCTAATTAGATCAAATTTGATCTGGACAGATCTGGCCAAAATGCAGATCTGCTCAGATCTGATTTGATCAGAGCAGATCTAAACTGTTTTTCCTGGGTTATGTTCTAATAAATAGCTCTTACAAATGCACTAACTTTGATCACGTTTTTTTTTATTTAATACAAATTATAACCGGATGTTATTGTTTTAATAGAAACTTTAGGTATTTTTCTTTATAATTACGTGCATGAAACCTGGTGTTAAGTAATTTATTTATTTGTAATTAATCATCAAATTTGTTGAAAATCAAGAATTTTTAGTTTTCAAAAATTTATAACTCAGAAACTATCAACTTACGGCAAATTTTATAAGAGTAATTTTCATCTTAAAATTGCCTAAAATATTGAAAAAAAATATCTAATTAAAAAAAAAATTATTTCTCAAATAATTGTTTAAACAAATGGCTATAAACAATAGATGGCCCGGGATTTCTCAAAAATGACTGCGATATTCGGTTTCAGCGGGTCAAAATACATACAACAATCATATTTTATACACCGACCTCAAAATTTTACGAAAAAATAATACAGCTACCTACACTAGTATCTGAAGAGTAGCTCAGTCAGTTACTTCTAGTAGCTGAATGGTACGCTCTGGGACTGACATGCAGGAGGACCCCGGTTCGAATCCCCAACATCGCAAATTGTTTTTCAACGATAATTCGACTTTAAATCACGGAAAAATGATATAAAATACATAATTTCTAATTTGCAAGTAGAAATAAAATAAATTTTACTATTATTTTTATTTTATAAACTGTTTTATAAATTGATTCTGTTTCAATCGAATCAGATCTGAACTGATAAGATTAGATCTAATCAGATCAAATTTGATCTGGACAGATCTGGCCAAAATACAGATCTGCTCAGATCTGATTTGATCAGAGCAGATCTAAACTTTTTTTCCCGGATAGAGACTTTATTATTTTAGTCTCTGCTTTATATAGAAAAATTCATGGATAATAATTAATTATTCCGTCTAGAAAATATCAACTCACAATTATTTAAAAAATTAATGCTTACAAAAAAAAGTCTCTTTTACTTTTTTCAGAAATTTAAATGTTCGAAAGATACTAAAAGTCATAGTTATAAAACTTTTGATAATTATACTCAATTAGGGACTTTAGACATTTTTTGATATAAATATCAAAATATGTACAGTAACGCAAAATTAATTAATTCTTGTAGAACAACCCAAATACAATCAATAGAGATCGTCAATTTCGATGAGTTTTTAATACCTTTAAGATATCAAAATCCGGGTTATTAGAATCATCGTGATTTTTGACAGAATTGCTTCCGTTTATTACAAACGGTCAAATTAACGAATTAAGTCGACAGTCAAATAATGTACGATCGCTCTGAATTTTTTCATCTTGACTGGCTCCAGACTTTTAAACTTCAAGTTTAAACTCAAGTAATGAAAGAAATATTGTGTCTGGTATGGGTTCAAATACCATTCCACGGAATGCAGGGAATGAAAAATTTAAGTGCTTATTTTATTGTTCAGACAGTTAACACGCTCGTTTTCTTTTGAGAATGTTTAATTTCATCCGCATTTATTAGAAACTTTTTTAAAGTTTGTAAATGAATAAAAAAATTTTTAGAGGGAACTAGATAGATGAGTAGATTGTTTTGTCTAGAATTAAGAAAAGTAGACATGCAAGAAATCTATCATGCATGGTACAAAATATTGACATCCATCTCTAGGTTTACGCATACTGGTAGAATTTAGCGCAATTAAATTTATATAAATCATTGAATGTAGAAATGGAATCAGCCAGAAAAAGCTGTAATGCTCTGCAGCAATGAATAATCAGTTGTTTTTATTCTTGCATAATTATTCTTTATGACAATTGCTAACTATGTCTCCTTATTGCTCTTACAATTTTCTTATTGCAGCACGATATATTGAACTATTAGAATTAGTGGAGCAGAGGAACGGAAGCAGAAGTTATTAGAGCTTACTATTTTATAATTTTTGTTCTTTGTTATTATATACTGAATTTAAATATTTTATAAGTATTATTATTAATAATTAAAATATAAGTCGCTCCGGAAGGATCCGTGAACTGTGCAATTAATAGAGGTGAAAGTTACACTACAAATTCTTATATATCAAACCAAACAGGAAGCCACCAGATCTTGAGTTGGAGGGTCTTTTCAAGCGGCACTTCACCACCGTCGAATTCTTTCAGGGAACCATCATGAACCCAATTGATCTGCAACGGGTTAAGGTGAGTTGTATTAGTCATTTAGATTATAGATAAATCTATATATTAATTTATTCAACATTATGTTAGAGTTTAAAATATATTCATTACTATAACTGCGTGCATCCAATGAGTGAATAAGTTACATATAATGAAGGTCAAAACAAAATTCTATGCAATAATTTATGGCTTCTCATAAATATTCATCGATAAAAATCAGTATTGACAATAAAATTAGAGCGGAATTAGAATGTTTAAAAATTTTATTTTATCATTTTCAGTTAGTTATTAAAGGCTATTCTCAGAAAAACAATTTACTTATCGTTAAATAAGGTGACTTGGCTTAATTAATATTGAGTAGGACTATATTGGAGAAAGATTGCAAATGTTTTAGTGATGCCTAAGACATTTTTTTTATCGAACTGATGTTTGAAGAGGGCTCTCAAAACATGTTAAATCAACATATCTATCTTTATACGAGATTTAACTATAAATAGTTGAGCTTTTGCGCCACCTTAATATTTATTATATTACAAAGTAGATGCGATAACTATATATTGTGAATCAGCTTGTTATACGTATATCTCAAATAACTAGACTAGGATTGGTTAAATTGTTGAAACTTTAGAGAGTCTATTTATCTTTATTTACTTTCAAAACTTTCCACAAAATTAAATTTTTTTTCTATGAAAGAAAAAACTACCAACACCTAAAGTTATCCAAATTTTTTTTTTTATACACGGAAAAAATAAAACACGACTGGTTACTGTGCTACACAAGAATGAGCGAAAAGAATATAAAATAATTCTTATCATATTATTAGTTCATGTTATAAGAATGAGTAGTTTTTACGTGTGACTGAGTATCTTTCAGCACAGTAACCATTACTATGTTACACACTATATTGAAAACACGAGTGATTCTCATGTCCACAGTTGCTGTTAGCTTTTAGGATAATACAGATTCTCGTGAGCAGAAGAACCCTTACTATATTCAATAAGTATGAGTGCTGTGCAAGCAACCGAACGAGTCACCTGACAAACGTTTATCATTCTCGTCCAGCACAGTAACCATTCTTGCCCTAAATAAGAACCGTCGCTATGGAACACATGTTTGTAATAGTAAAGAAACGAAACATATTTGATTTGTAAATATTGGTAACATTCACTCGTATTTTTATAATTATAGATATAATGACTTACAAATAGAAATTATAATAGAATAAAATGAATTCCGTTTACACTGTTCACATCCAATTTGCACCGTATAATTGTGAAAAATTTACACCGTGTCTACACTGTAACCCCACTCTAAGTTGTCAAAATATAGATGGTGCACAGAATTTACACTAGAGTTACAGAGGGTTTTAAAAACAGGAGTTACACGGTGTTTCCATCGTAATACCACTATATATTATCTATTTAAACCCCCGATGTATACAAATTGTAAAAATGGTACGCATACACGGTAGGATCACGGTGTATACACGATGGGTTCAACATGTTAAAATTCTTTCAGTGTAAGTTTCCTGTTAATGCTTGTAATTTCGGTGTCGACATGTCAGGGTAATTCAAGTGTAAAACACCAGTGAAATTTTCACAAATACATTGTGTGAATCTAGTGTATTTGCGATGTAAACTCGGTGTAAATGGCATCACACTGAGTTTACACTGTAAATGACGGTGTGAACAGAACCGCTAGGGATTGAGTGCTTGTATGAATTTTTAAAGTAGTCATGTTAAAGTTACTTCGAAAGCTCACCTTATTTTTTGTTAATTTTCTTACAGTTATGCAATGTAAGTGTATCAAAGAGTTATTCTGTCATCATAACTTCTCCAGTAACCTATAGGTTCTTGTGGAAAATTTTGTTAATCGTTAGAAAGTATATGCTTCTTCTGATATTGTGCGGAAGGCACTGGCAACTCTCAGAGCGCTCTGTCTGTAAATTGGACCCGCTTTTCTCCAAGATTCTTGCGTTTCTAATGCGTCAGCCCAAATGGATATACCATATGTGAGCACAGATGTTACTACTGATGACAGCAGTAGTCTTCTGCTCTGCTTTGGTCCACCAACGTTGGGCATCAGTCGTGCTAGGCTCGCTCTAACTACTGATGCTTTGGTAGTCACATGTTCGACTTGTTGCTTGAAATTGAGTCGAGGATCAAGCATCACTCCCCGGTACCGAATGTACGGTTGTGATGTGATCTCATGTTCTCCAACTTGTAACTTGATGGTTTCCATCGCTTTCCTGCTGGTAATGAGCACTGCTTCGGTTTTATGCTTAGCTAGTTGCAAGTTCACCGTATCAGTCCATAAGTTAATCCGTCTAAATGTAATGTCAAAGGCCAGATTTATCTCTTCAAGGTGCTTCGCGACAATCACCACAGCAACATCATCTGAATATGCTACCAGTTTCACTTCTGCTGGCAATGCTATTTCCAGGAGACCATTATATATGATGTTCCATAGCAGAGGACCTACAACTGAGCCCTGTGGTACACCACCAGTAATATCATACTCCTCAGGACCACTTTTTGTGTCGTATTTGACGACTCTGTTTGTGAAGTAGCTTGCTACCATTCTACGCAAATACCCTGGGACTCGTTTCTCTTCAAGGCCGCGCATTACACAGTCCCAGTTAGCAGAGTTAAAAGCATTTTTGATGTCTAATGCAGCCGCCAAGCAATACTTTTTGTGCCGCGATTCCATCTCTTTCCAGCAATCGCATCCTTAGCTGTGTTGACGACCAGATTTATTGCATCCAGGGTTGACCGTCATTTTCGGAAACCAAATTGGTTATCTGCCAAGAGTGGATCAACTACTGCTTCTATCCTTTGAGGAATTATCCACTTTAATATCTTATCCGCCGTGTCTAACATGCAGAGTGGACGGTAGGATGATGGTTCGTCAGGTAGTTGTCAAATTGATTGAAGTTTTATTTGAGAAAAAATAATAAAAAAACAAAGTGGCCAACTTTGAAAAAACAACGATTTTGTTAAAAAAAAAAAAAACCGATTATTTTATAGAATTGATCATATTTAATTTTTTTTGTGTAATTTTTCATTCAGAAAACAAAAATTAAAAAAAAAAGGTACCCACAGGTCAATGTCTGAAAAAGTTATGGCTATTTGAAAATAAAAAACCCACTGTTTTGGGAAATTCAAAACTTTTTTTGGGTTGGATAAAAAAATTTGAAAAAATTCTCAAAAATGTTTTTCAAAGGGTAGAAAAGAATGAAAGTTTCGGCTAAATCTAAAGGGGTCGAGTTCAAAAGTGGTCGATTTGGCATGGAATACCCCATATACATTTAGGAACCAATATGATAAAATTTTCCGTATGTACACTTAAAAAACAAAAACAAATAAAAAAATTTGCATTAAAAATTTATGTCTTTGACACGAGATAATTTTCGAGAATGTACTTTTTTGTTCGAAGAATTGAACGAATTGATTAAAATAATTTTTATTTAATTCAAATAAAGCTATTAGTTTTTTTTTTTTCGTACCTAATAATGATAACAAAAATTGATATTCTTTGGTCAAAAAATTAATACATTGAATTGTTAATTTCAATAAATTCTTTTCTGAGCATAATTTTTATATTTTATTAATGTAGAATAATTATTCTACATTAATAAAATATAAAAATTATGCTCAGAAAAGAATTTATTGAAATTAACAATTCAATGTATTAATTTTTTGACCAAAGAATATCAATTTTTGTTATCATTATTAGGTACGAAAAAAAAAAAACTAATAGCTTTATTTGAATTAAATAAAAATTATTTTAATCAATTCGTTCAATTCTTCGAACAAAAAAGTACATTCTCGAAAATTATCTCGTGTCAAAGACATAAATTTTTAATGCAAATTTTTTTATTTGTTTTTGTTTTTTAAGTGTACATACGGAAAATTTTATCATATTGGTTCCTAAATGTATATGGGGTATTCCATGCCAAATCGACCACTTTTGAACTCGACCCCTTTAGATTTAGCCGAAACTTTCATTCTTTTCTACCCTTTGAAAAACATTTTTGAGAATTTTTTCAAATTTTTTTATCCAACCCAAAAAAAGTTTTGAATTTCCCAAAACAGTGGGTTTTTTATTTTCAAATAGCCATAACTTTTT